CGGGGCGGGCGGGCCGTCGGCACCCAGCCTTTTCACCTCCTTCCGTCCAGGCAAGTTGGCCCGGCTTCCGATTCCTTTGGAAAGTCGCCCCCAGGCCACCGAACGACCCTGAATCCAGGCCCCAGGCCCGCGCGGGGAGAGGCCTCCCAGGCTTTGGGCAGTTGGGCCCACCTCGCTGGCCTTCCGCCCGTTGCGGGCGCAGTGGCCTCCTGGCCTCTGGGCGGGGAGCGGCCTTCCTGCACAGGACCACTCGGGCCCCCGCCCTGACAGGGCCGGGACAGGGCTGTGGACCCGCCAGCTGCTGCCTTATTTTTAGCCCCATTCCATTCGCGCGGTTATATTTAACTCGGTCCACTCCGAGGAGGTCGCTCGGACAACGAATTCTCCGCATCGCAGCTTGGACCCGCCCGCCTTGCTTGCCTCGGGGGCAGTGAGTTACTCCAGGGGCAGATTGGAAAACCCCTGAGTGAGAATCTTTGACATCTGCGGAGCTTGGCGGGGATGGGAGAAAGGGAGGTCTGGATCTGACAGCAGTCGCTGGGGCACCAGCATTTGCTGGGAGTGGGGATTCCTCCTTGCAGGGGAATGGGTAAAGGAGGCGAATTTGGTCCTATGGGAAGTATTCTCCGCAGGGAGTACCGAGGGCATTTCCTACTTATGCATGACCCAGAGCACCCAGGTAACCTCTTTACAACTCTGCCTTTCAAAAAGTTTAAGATTTTGTATTCACGCGGGAATCGCCTCTCCTCCCGAATCCCCAACGCATCCAATAGGATACACAATTTCAGTTAATGCGTTGTTTTTTTTTCAGTTCCAGCTCAGTCTTCTCTGGGTAAAATCTCAAACAGACCATGTCCCTGGCTCACTCGCATCCTGGAGAAAGGACCCACTGGATAACATACAGAAACACCATTGCAGTGCACACGTTATTCACAAAGAAAGTCAGTCTGAATTTACAACACAAAAGCCATCTAGCAAAGGTACACGTACAGATGATGCGACTTGAGCAGGGATGTTGAAACACATTCTTGGGGGATTCTTCTCCTAATTCACTTAAAGAAACAACTTTCTGGGACCAGCAGGTGGTGTAGTGCTCAAGGTGCTGGACTCCTACATGGTTGACCACGGTTTGAGTCCCAGATTTGGTGGCTTGAAAATCATGCTGGGCATTTCTGCATGCATGCCCAAAATTCCAGGAGAGGAATGGAGGAGAAGGGATTCTAGTGTGGCCATGGCCCTTAGGACATGATTTCTCACTGTCTCTCTCTGGCCAGCGCACAGGCTCTATGACAAAAAAGAAAAACAAACAAACAAACCTTTAAAACAAAAACAAAAAAGAGGGCCTGCAGGTGGCGTGGTGGTGGTTAAAGGCCCTGGATTCCCACATGACCACAACAGTTCAAGTCCCAGACCTGGCGGCTTACTTTCTCACTTTACTTCTAACTCTCTCTTTCTGTCCCTCTCTGGTCAAATTTAAATAAATAAATGCAGTTAAGTAAAATAATTATTTTTTTAAAGGAATAACTTTCTTTTTCTTGGATCCAAAGTAGGTATTTCTGGCCGCCTTTTTAGTAGATCTCTTTGCAAAGCAGAAACTTCTTGGAGCATACGTACAGCTGAATGCAGGGGGAGAGGACGTGTGTGTTTATTTGCTCATTTATTAATGTATTAATACTTTATTGAACTGTTGTAGACTGTAAAGTCCTGGGATCAAAGAACTGGGCTAACCCATAGAGCAGAGGTTGAGGGAGCTCAACCCTACATGCCTACCACAGTTCTAATCCCAACCTCGGTGGCTTGAAAAATACTCCCAGGCTAGTGTGCAGCCACAAATCCCGACAAGATAGAGAAATGGAAAAGGGATTGCAGTGTGACCATGCCCTGTTGTGCCCCTCCCATCCTGCCTCACCCTCATGCACCCTCTGGCAATTTAAACAAACAAACAAATAATTAAACCCAAGAACTCTCAGAGAAGAGCCAG